GGGGGGGGGGCTGTGGGTTTACAGTGAGCCTGAGCTTCACACGAGAACACGGTGCTGGCTCCACCTCCCTCCCCGGGCTCTCGGGGCAAGGGCACAGCGGGCCTGCTCCTCCCACTGCCACTCCACCCAGTTCTAGAACCGCCCTCTTCCTGAACACATGCTACACTGCTTCCTTCTCACTGCTAAGTAACTGAACACCCTCAGAACAGACTCTGGACACACCAAACCACAAATCCTATGGAGTTGCCATACTGTCCAAACTCCCACCCAGTCCACCCTCATCTGTTTTCCCAGATAGTTACCAAAATACCCACCAAACTTAACTACCTGCCAGTCTCAAAGCCCCCATGGTCACACCCTCATCTGCAATATACTGATCTGTTAGGCAAATCCTTTAACACCCAGCTCAGACTCCGCTCTTAAAAAACCACCCTCTTATCTTCCCACTCCACCTGGCGGAGTAAATTCCTCCTTTTCTCTGTGCTCCTCAGCACTTCAAACATACCTCCTTTGCAGCGTTGTGTGTGGGTGTATGCCCTGGCCCCCACAGTCCAGAAAGTTAAAGTCCACAACCAGAAGGGCTGCATCTTACTCATCTTTGTCTCCCCAAGTCAAGGTCCAGTCTAGCACCTGAGAGAGCACTCCTTTGATACATGCTTGCTGAATGAATGAAAACAACAGTGACAAATGGCACATCAAGAAGGTTGTAGCTGCCAACGCAAGGACCACCTCTCAAGTCCACATGAAGGACTGATGGCAGCCCTCTGACCACAGCTGTTTCCTTGGGAGCGAGAACTAGCTGCCACACGACAGTGTATCATCACTGTCTACAAAACCCAATGCAGGAGGGACAAAGGGACTAAAGAAAATGGCACACTCGTCAAAAATTGTAAAACAACTAAGGGCAAGACAAGTTAATTTCTTAGAGTCTGATTTAAAGTTACTACAGGTTTCTGTTCTTCAAAAAAGAAATCACGGGGCACCTGGGTGCTCAGCTGGTTAAGCGACAGCGTTCGGCTCAGGTCATGATCCTGGAGTCCCGGGATCAAGTCCCGCATCGGGCTCCCTGCTCAGCGGGGGGTCTGCCTCTCCCTCTGACCCTCCCCCCCCATGCTTTCTCTCTCTCATTCTCGCTCTCAAATAAATAAATAAAATCTTTAAAACTAAATAAATAAAAAAGAAACCACACTTCCTGGGGTCATAGCCAAGCTTTCTGAAATTAACATTCTAACAAAGTAATCCAACCTGATGCAAAAAGAATAATCTTCATTTTTAATGTATGAAATATATATATGTAGATGTAGTTCCAAAAACAAAACTCATGAGAATTAATCTCAGTGCTAATGTTAGTGAAATACCCTTTCAAAAATTTCTAGAAATGAAAAGCAGGTTTAAAACTGACTATGAAGAAAATAACTTAAAATGAGCTTCATTGTGCACCTAATAAAGGAAAAGAGGAAGGAGAAGAGGAAAAAGGAAAACTTTGCCAAGAAAAACATCTGTTGAGCTCCCTGTATTGTACTGTTTAAAATGCTTAAAATCCCAGGAAGGGTGTCTACGACACAGGCTCAGTTCACTAAGTCTCAAATTCACTGTTATGCCCTGCTAAACAGAGCCATCATTATTAAAAACTATAAATAAATGTTAGAAATTGTAGAGGAAAGACAAATTTTCTAGACATCAGAGCAGGTAAGTTTTCTTTCAGTAAGAGGTCTTGAATGCTGACCTTTCTCCTTTCCTGTACCTGTGATGGGGGCATTCTGAAACTCACACTTGAAAAATATAATTCTTAGGCGTGCCTGGGTGGCTCAGTCAGCTGAGCATCCTTTAGACTCTTGGATTTCGGCTCAGGTCATGTCTCATGGGTTGTGAGATGGAGCCTCGGGCTCTGCGCTCAGTGGGGAGTCTACTTGAAGGTTCTCTCCTTCTGTCCCTACCCCCAACTCATGCATGCATGCGCACACTCTCTAAAATAAATAAATAAATCTTAAAAAAAATAGAAAAATCCAATTCATAGATAATTACCGTGGTAATCAAGGCAGCAATCTCAACTATCTTTCCAAGACCCACCAAGCTAGAAGATGAGAGGACTCTTTGAGGGCTATTGGGGCTGTAAGGTGCATGAAATGCTTATCACAGAAAAAACTCCTCGTAGTTTCTAACTCTACCATAAACACTATAAAAAAAACCCTAAAAAATTACATTTAGCAATAAGAGAAGTATGTGATATTTAAATTATTTCTTCTAAAGTAATAAGATCATTATTTCAAAACTATTTGCTATTTAATCAAGAATATTTTAAGACATTAATAGATTATATGAAAACTCTAAAAACAATAAAAAAGATAATGATCTAGAAAAATCTGTTTTTTTCCTCTGTCTTCCCCTTTTGGGTGGGACTACTGGTTAAAAGCTTGTATCCGGGAATTAAGCAAACCTGTATCTGAAAGCAGATGCCCAAATAACTAGCTGTGTGATCTTTGGTGAGTTCCTCGGCTTTTCTAAGTTCAAGTTCCTCATTAGTAAAATAGGGAGAGAAACAGTACTTACCTCCCAGAGTGGCTATGAGGATATGACGTAATAATGTACTTAAGGCCCTCAGCACCTGGCTGGCTACTATGAAGCACCCTCTTTCACTCTGCCCTCATGTCTTTGTTTTTGGAGGAAGGTCTTACAACCACCTAAGTACCACAAACTGATGGAGCAAATACCACACAGAACCAATTTTCCTAGCAGGATTTGATTTCCAAACCCAGAAATCTGAGACCTGGTGTCAAGAAGGGTTGGCTTCAGTTTCCTCATATGTAAAATATGCATCTTGAATCAGAAAATGTATGAGGCTCCTTCCATTTCAAAGATTTGATAATTCTTGTTCATACGAAACTGACGAGTATGTATACATTCTACAGGGCAGCATACCAATATATCGCTCTAAGCAATTACAAACTCTCTGGGGGAAACATATAGCATATCAGTCTATAATCACAAAGGCAGTAGCTCGTTAACTTTATGGAATGTCTTAAACATTCATTTTTAATCAAGAGGAAAGTTTCTTCAGGGAACCACAAAGATGTTAGAAGGAGCACTTAGTCCATTCCTCTTGGCTCTGGTCAGTAATGAAATTGAATCACTCAGGAAGAACTGGGGCAGAGATTGAATATAAACAAAAATGTAACAAACCCAATATCCCAGGGCTTTGATGACATCAAGTTTACACATTGGACACGTGCGGTGATCCAAAAGCCATGGGTCAATGCATATTCTATGAAAAATATGCCTAAAAAAATTAAGTATGTGTTAATTTTTTAAAATAAATGTTTATATCTTATAAAGGAAACAACACATTCTACTAACTCAACTCCTCAGTACAAGGTGAACAACTTCAACATTCTAGTCTATTCACTTACTCTATGTAATTATCTATTCTACCTTCCACATTAAACAGAATCTGGAACTTACAGGGAAATTTTCCCTTCACTCCACAAAAATAGCATGGTTTATTTTCGCTTCATGCTAGGTTGTATTTTTCTGTGCCTTTGTAACTTACTTTAAAGCCGTTTGGGAATAAATATGGCATAAGTAAATCAACAGTCAACTAATAATAATAAGCTGAAAGTATCTTACATAAGTTCAGGAAACGAATCAAATGGGAATACAACAAAATATAAACAGATCATCTCTGGGTTTTAGGCTTAAAAAAAACACTTATTTTCTGTCTTAACATATTTTTGTATATTCTACATTCTTCTATAATAATAACTTTCAGAATTGAAGAAAGAAGAAATAAAAATTGCCTATGTATTTCCTTTTTACTGACTTCTCTTAGTCGGCTAGCTTTGCCTCTTATGTGGTGAATCTGTTTTCCACACAGGATAGAGATGAGGAGTCAGGCAGAGGGGATACAGGACCCATGGCTCCCATACCAGCTGTGTGATGCGATGCTGGGACTCTGATCTAGTTGCTTAACCTTTGCACCTCCATTGCAAGCTGTTCCCAGCAGCAAATACATAACGTGCTCACAGCAGTGCTGGGCACAGTAAATATCGAGTAACTGTTCATTATTCATGCTGTTGTGTGAAGGCCTCTTCTTCATACTGAAGTCTGCTAGTGCAGTTAAAAATAACATACTTAATTTCGTAACATAGTCTAGCCTAGTTAGTCTTCTGACCTTTCCATCCTCAAACTGAAACTGAAACTGAAACTGACTGACCCAAAGAAATAATTTTTACAAAAACACAAAGGAAACATGTTGGCTTTATTGGGAAATCTGTCAAATAAAGCATGGGAGAAAATGAGGGGAAATTAAGTAAAAATCCCAGATCAGGAGACCAGGAAATGTGCACAATCAACATGTGTGCTTGTGAGGGTCAAGCACCAAACCCAGCTCAGCCATCAGGACAGATCTGGTGTTACAAAGGAAGTGAGCCTCAGGCCGTTCATCTGTGCTGCATCCCAAGCATCATTTTTACTCACAAAGACTTGCCCTAAACCATCCTAGATAAAAATTCTTTTCTATTTTAATAATTTTCCACAGGACATACTGACTCCAATTCATTAAGTACCCACCCACCAACCTCAAATAAAAGCCTGTAGACCGAAGTTAGCTATCTTTATTCTGGACACTTTTGTTATTCTGATATTCATTTGTTTTCTCTATAGAATTACTGAGAACTTAACCTACTATAGAGGACTTATATATATACTACTTTGTAAACATAAAGCAAACCGTAATTACACATTAATTTCTGACCTGCTTCTAAAAGGTGGGAAGCATAATTAAAATTGATCAGACTGAAAGCACAGTATAATTTTTTACACCCTTCTGATAACAGCCATTCTTCTAAACAGTTATCAGTTAATTTAAGTATCCCATTATTAAAAAAAAAAGGAAATCGCAACTTCCCATTGCTAAAGCAAAGCCCCTAGTGTACCTAAAGGAAAAATATTTTTTTGCAGAACCCCCAAAAGAACTAAAATCCAGGGTACAAATAATAGCAAACCACTACCCTTCTTGACTTTCTGCTAGCCATTTCTGGCCCTCCCCCTGGGGACCTTCACCGGTCATGCTTCAGTTTCCTTGCTCCCACACAATGTACGTTTTGAATGGCTAAATGTATGATGGAATTCTCAGGATTCTAATAAAGCCTTGCTTAAGACTAAACGCCAATCCATGGCAAAGATTTATAATGGGTCTGTCTTAGGGCCTGAAGTCTCCTAAGCAATTTTAAAGTAATATAATCCTGGAGCGTAGAAGGCTTGAAGCTTCCTTCCTAAAGGATGAGATGATGACAACATCATCACATGATAGCAAGATCCTCACATCATAAAAGACACATTAACACTCTTGTCAGAAACCTGAAACTTATCCAGTAATTTGTAGCATCTTAGGAAGGAAAAAAAACATACTTGCATGGCAGAATTCTGATAATGTCCTTTACTTTAAAATTTTCAATACACACAGCACAGTTTTCAGCATCAACATCAATTCCCTGTAAAAAGGAAAGAAAAGAATTCACTATATCCTTTGCTACGTGGTCTATCTTGATAAAACTCACAACGTCCTGGGTAAAACAATGACAAATTTTGTACTACCAGGGTACAACCAGAAGCTAAACACAATCTCTACCAGTATTTACTTCTTACCACTGTCCAGAGATTATATTTAAAGAATCTGGCCGAAAAGGAAAAAATGTCATTGTTACCTATTCAGGCACGAACAGTTTTGATACTAAGGTAGTGTTCATATTTTAAGGGTTGTAGAAATGCAAAGGTCTATTTTACTATAATAAAAATTATTTTTCAAATATAAAATTGTAAAGAGAATATCCAATAAACTACTTGTTTCTAGAATCATTAAAAACAAAAACAAGAGCACTTTCACTAGAATTTGATAAAGAACATAGTTACAACTTGCAAATGAGAAAACACAAATGGCTAAATATCTGAAAATATTCCCCTCACTAGTGATAAAAGAATTACGGATTAAAATAAATTACCATTTTTGATCTATCAAATTAACAAAGGTAAAAAGAAATAAAACTTGCCAAGGAGGAAGCAGTCCCTGGCAAAATTTGTGACAAAATTTCCACGGCTGCTAAGAATCTATGGGTCATCAACCTTTTTGGTGGTGTCAGCCTTTCCCCCATTCCCCTGGGTACCCCCATCAAATCACCTGGCCTCACCCCATCAAAGCAGGCACAGCCAGAGTGGTCATCTGACCCAAGACAGGTCAGTGAGACTCTCTTTGATTCTGGGATGGATTCAAGAACTACCAGTCAGTGTCTGCATGCAGCTCCAACATTAGCAAGTGTATTTTATAGGAACACAGCGACCCTGTCCTTATGTAATTATTTTAAAAATACACTGAGCCATGTATATCACTTGTTAGCAAGCAAGCAGTAAAAACTGATTATTATTATCAAAGACTATTAAAATTCTATAACACTGAAAATTGTATGTTGCTAAAGTAAATATTATCTATCGTATGCCATACAAAACTGATGAAACAGGGCGCCTGGGTGGCTCAGTTGGTTAAGCGACTGCCTTCAGCTCAGGTCATGATCCTGGAGTCCCGGGATCGAGTCCTGCATCAGGCTCCCTGCTCAGCGAGGAGCCTGCTTCTCCCTCTAACCCTCCCCCCTCTCATGTACTCTCTCTCTCTCTCTCATTCTCACTCTCTCAAAATAAATAAATAAATCTTTAAAAAAAAAAAACTGATGAAACAATTTTTAAAGTCTCTAATGGTCTGTAAGCTTATACATTACTGTGAATGAGTCCGTAAGAAAAGAAAAACTAGAAACCAAACACCTGTCTCTAGAACTGGACAAGATGTAGATTTAAGAAAACACAA